CAACTTACGGCAGCCCATCAAAATCTCTGTAAGAGCTGGGCGCACCGTGATAATTCCCAAGCAGGGATTGTGGAGACCATATCGAGGGTCACACGACCTTACCCACCTACTATGAATGCCTTGGATCAGGTTTACTGATCGAGCTTACACTACTATCAAATATCAAAACGTGTGCTCGAAATTTATTTGAGAGCTTCCTTTTACCTCGTTACTCACATTTCCTAAAGTGTACGCTGAGTCAGCATCGGATAGAAGAATTAGTGCCGCCCATGAAGATAATTTCTTGGTCGCATTATGCCCTGGTGACAGTTTTAGAAAAGACAAAACCTCCTTCCAGTGGTGGTTGTACTTAAGTGTTGGGCGACGAAGACACGTTGCCTCCCAATCTGCTGCTTTACAAGCCGATTTAAGTAAAATATCCGTCCGGCTAGAACGTCGTTTAGAACTTGACTTCGTAAAGTTCAAAGTACTACAATGCAGGAGCTAACTCTCGCCCTTCGCTTATGCTGTCCACAGCGGGGCTGCCAAATCTCTTTGCTTAAAGAAAGCTAAGCTAAGGTCACCGACCTTCCGAACTTTACAAGAATTAGTACAAGTGCAGCAAGTCGCAATCCGCTGCCACACAGAGTACTTAAAAACTTTAGCCAGGGAGTGAACTCTTCCGCTTATTATTGAGACTGTATTTAACTGTTTTAGCTGCGGCAAAGCCGCCAATATCTAAGAAACCTTAGGTTTTTCTAATCAATATAGTAGTACCTAATTAATATGCATTACTACTGGCAATCCTGCCACGTATTGGCTTCTTGTTACGGTGTAACCTCACCACTGTATGATCACATTAATTTGTTTAATCCAAACCTATGTACGGTCACATCATTCTGTGCGACCCGCCCATTCATACAAGGGTACGTGTAGCACCGTTACAACGAAAGTATAAATCGCCCGAGCTACGGCGAAATTCCCGTGAAACGTATGAGCGGAATGATTGTGTAATCTTCCTGGAAGGCACAAGTGGTGCATCGGGACTCTGTAAGTCAATTTGCTAAGTGTCACTAAAGATTAAGTCGCCTCTACCACCGTACGCTGGCATCATAGCGTCGGTCACAAAGGTCGCCCGTTTTTAGTGTCTCGTCGACCCGCAAAGTAAAGATTGAGTTAAGCTCCGGTTGCAAAGAATGTTCATGTGCTTGCGCTACTAATGTGCAGTCGGGTAGATTACTTTCGACATAGTGATTGATCATTACTGCAGCGGGGCTGCCGCAGCTTTGCGCTTAGAAGGAAGCGTAAGTTAGGTCACCGACCTTTCGTTCGATACTTAGAACAAGTACGAGTTTAGCGGATCGCAATCCGCTTACCTGAAAAGTAATTACAACCTTAACTCAAGGCTGATTAACTCTTCCGTTTAAATTCAAAAACTAGCTTTTTTATATTTATCTGCGGCAAAGCCGCTTAATTCTAAATGCATGGATTTTCCTAATTGTGTATAGTAAAATCTATATACATGTATAACTACTGGTTAACCAGCCCTGTACCGTATTCTTGTTTGGATGTGGTTACACCATGCCTATATGGTGTGACACCCCCCCCTGTTACCAGGGTATGTGTAACCCCGTTGCACTCCCCCCATTAATATTGAGAGCATTTACAGTTCCAATCGATTTTTGCCTCAACGAGGCCTGCGTGCCGTTAGACACGGCGTTGGACCGAAACGACTTTCGTGCTCAATGAGCCCTGTGTCAATGACACCGAAGTATTCAAGTCTCGCTGGTTCCGACCGCGCTCACGGGCAGAGATCAACTTCGTCTTCCACACGCAGTGCCATGTCGGACCGTGTCTCCGCGACATCGATGGATGTAAATCCTAGGCTCGATGAGCCCGAATGTCGTGCTCCGTGCGGGCTATCATTGACGAGTGACCTCGTTGGGGATGTGGAGGTGATCGACTACGAATCTGGTACTCCTTTTCCCGGGTGGAATGACGAGGAAGGCGAGCCGTGCCAGCGGTGTAAGACAAGCCCTGCTCGTGCCTTGCGGACCCCATGTCCGTTTCTTGACCTCTCATCACCTGAGAGACGTGGTGTCATCACTAATGACCTCGACAAGGCACAGAAGCGGCAGCTGGAAGCTGCTCGTAAGGCGGCTCTGATGCGCGTCCATCCACGGTTAGTTATTGACCCTCGTGTGGAATATGGCTTCCACCCGGCGGATTCCGCTGTTTAAGCGAAGGATGCGGTAACTCGATCGTTACGCTTCCACATCATCGGGCCCGCGACCATTACGGAAGCTGGGCTTGCCGAACGGAAAGCTCTTCGAGCTCCTTTCTTGATTCCGCAAGAAATTCGGTTAGACGTTTTTGCGTTCGTCTACGTGCTCAACGACTTGACTCTCGTGTACCCGCAATGCGGACAACAAATGTAGTGCTCGCCCCTGGTGATAGCGCTACAGATGACGAAGTGCTCCTTGAGCGATGGATGTAACGGCGCCAAAACGTTTCCGCACTGTATGCCTTACAGTTGAGTCACAAGGAAGTGGACGTGCGTGTGGAGCGCCACCTCCGATTCGAGTTTGCCAAACTCAAAGCACGCCGTCGACTCCATTCAGATTGTCAACCTGCGACATATGGGA